ATTAGAAATCATTTTCCTGGAATCTGGGCTCAGTGCTGTTTTTAAAAAGCAATTATAAAAGTTTCAAACAAACAAAAAGAATAAATCATAAGTAGCACAGATTCGGGAACCCATTACTCAGCTTTGGAATTTTGTGAGAAATAAGTATTTACAGATAGAGAGACAGCTCCCTTGGTATCTCTCCAGGTTACCACCCTTAACCATCCCCTCTTCTGAGAACATGAGTACCCTGAATTTGATGGTTTACACCCTTATACACGTTTTACTCTATCTTTATGTATCCATAAAAATATGGCACAGTTTTGTACATTTAACTGTATTATTGCTGTTATCTTGTAGGAATCTTCCTATAATTTGTGCTTTTTTGCTCAACATCATTTTTGTGATATATCGATGTTGACACATGTGGCATTTTTGTATTTTTACTTATTTAGTATTACTTTGCATGAGGATTATGTGTATAGGAACATTTTAATACTTTTTTGCTATTTAAAATTATGAGCAATAATTCAATAAACATTTCTGTAACTTTTACCTCTAATTTCTTAAACTCTATTTGAAAAAAAAATACTGTCATGGAGATATGCATAGAGACTTAATTGCCCGTCTAAATTTTGTTTTAGAATAATGCAGGAGTGAGTAGCAAAAGTAAGACTGGTTGGCTATAGTTACAATTGAGGAGACACAGTCTAAGCCTAAAACCAATTCACATTCTGTGTACCTCACAATTTTCAGTTGATACATCAGGATCTATCATCACATCTTGAAATCTCACCTATTAACAAACTGGCTATTACTAATGATACTGCTTTTCTGAACCAGACCTGAATTTCTGAGGTCTGCAGAATTTTTATTGGGTTAAAAAACAAACAAAAAAACAGCAAACTGGCAGCAACCAATGTATTGGGTTGACAGAGATGTGCTCTGAATACAGCAAGTTTTGTCACTATAGACATAGAAATAGTGCCCTAAAAATATAAAAAATATACATCAAAATGACTTCTCTTGTAAGAAGCACACCCTGGGAGAGGGAGTGAAATTTCCGTTGACTTCATGCCTGTCTATTCTAAAGCACTCTCTTTATGTGGTGGGAATGGGCAAACGATGGCCAGGTGCTTGATTTACATTTAAAATCTTTATAGTCTGTTTAAAGTGGCTTATTAAAACCTTTCCATGTCTACAATGAAATGAGATTATTTTGATAAATCATGCTCTGTTCTGGAGTCCTAGCATTCTGAAGAATTTGGTCTATTGTATTGATATTAGTGCTGGTTTTAGTACTACCAATGGTAAAAACATCAGCAGAGATTTGGGAGAAATTCCTGGTACACTAGTTAAGAGACAAAGTTTTAGCCTTGATTCCTCCTCTGACTATGAACTAAAAAAGTCACTTCAGCCCCCAGACACTTTGACATGGAGCTGCCCTAAGTCAGTGCTTTGCAATTTTTTTATGTTGATCCTATGAAATGGTAAATAAATTTGGTGTGTTGAAAATAAAATTTTTCAAAAATTAGGGAAAATAAAAATATATTTTTGGTGCAATGTGTACACTAAGAGTAAATATTATAATATTTTTGTTACAGATGGGTGTGTGTATATGACTGCTGTGAGATATTATGTGAAGCATATTTTTCTTTTTTTGTATATTGAGGTATTTTTGATAATTAAGAATTATGTATACCTAGGATACACAATTTGATGATGTAAATTACATATACATTGTTAAATAATTACCATAGTCAAACTAATTGCTACACCATCACCTCCGATAGTTTTCACTTTCTTTGTGTATGTTTGTGTGTGTGGTGAGAACATTTACAATCTACACTGTTAGCAAATTTCGAATACATAACAAAGTATTAATTGTAGTTGCATTGTTATGCATCAGCTCTCCAGAACACATGTGATGTCTTCATCTTGTATTAAAGAAAACTTCCTATTCTGTATTGCTTTCAAAAAGGTTTGAAAGTCATTTGTAGAAGCCTGACTTCAGAAAGAAGCTCAGGGGCTTTCCAGAGGGGTTAAGCCCCTGTTTAAAACACCAGTTGCCTGCATTTTCTAGGATGAAGCCCTGATTCCCCAGCATAGCAGAACAAGATTATCCTTCATAAATATTGCCTCAGGACTGTACACTCCAAGGACGTTCTGAACTACATACTCCCTGTTTCTAACAGTACTGGCTCATGCCTTATGCCTTTGCTATTTTCCCCTCAGCCTCAAATGCTCTTGGTAGACATGAAGCATTATCTTTGCTAGATGCTCTCCCAGCCCCACCTATTCTCGTAGAATTGTCCAATGCTTCCCTTGCTTCACAAATCTTTACTGAGTTATGTCATAGCCTGCAGTATACTTTCCTGCACTTAATAATAGTTTAAATATCCATCCTACCCTACTAGACTATGGAAATTTTGAAGTCAGGTCTTTATATCATAAGAATTTAGGTTCTTCAGAATGTAATGAACTGCTTTACCGTGATGCCAAAAAAAAAAAAAAAAAAAAAAAAGAATTTAAGTTCTTCTATTTTCTCATGCATATTATTTGTTCCTCATACCTCTTAAAATCACTGTATTATTTAAAAACAATATGTGTTCATTTAAAATGATATGAAAAGGCAGTTGAAATATTACACTAAGCTGTGCAGCCTAAAGATGGCACTGTTCATATCTAAACTAATGTTTTCACTAGTTTTTAATGTTTCACTTGCCTATATACATATGCCAAGAGAAGCCAACATATATACAGGCATGCATGTGCACACACGTATACACGTTACACAAATAAATTCATTCATGAATCTGACCACTTTTTCTTTTTGGCAATGTCAAGGACACTTTCTATGTCACTGATACACCTTCACATAATTTTTAATGGCTGCTTATAATTCTAATTTATGGCTTCTCCTGGGTTTGTTTTGGTTGCCATTTATCAACATTAAAAGCAGTGATGGTGCACTTGACTTCTTATTTCTTGCATACCATGACTATAAATTAAAAAGCAGCATTATTGTCCTTACCTTCTTTGATCAGCCACCAGTCCTGGGCTGATTTTATAACTCCCTTCAAGGCATTCCGTATTTGGCCTCCTTCCCTTTATCTTGAGGCTATTTTGGGCTGTGTCCTGTTAAAATTCCTGTATATCAGAGAACCTTCTACCTTGCAATGTGATGTCATCACTCAAACTTTCTCTTTAGAACGTGAATCATCTGTACTTAAATAGTAGATTTGACTTTTGACAACTTTCCCTTTTAGAAACAAATTCAGTGGAATCATGCATATATTTTATATGAGTATTTTGAATCTCACTTTCCTAAACCAGAGGATATATCTGAATTATACCCAATCTTTCTCTATTTTGTGTTCATAAAATCCAAGATGAGATATGATTATTTTCAATGGAAATCCCCACTTTACCAAGCACTTCTGCTCTTAGATATAGATTGTTAGTATAGTTCATTGGGATACTTCCTCTATTCTCTGGAGCTAAAGTCACAAACTAAAACTATTCAGATACATTGTTTTTCTAAACTGCAACATTGTGTACAAATTTGAACAAGTACAAAGCCTCATTACTACAAAAATTCAATTATGTCAGTTTTTGTGAACTTTAAGGAATAGGTCATCTGTTTCTTCAATGAAACTTAGTAATGTAGGTTAGTCCATCGTATTTACTTCGGTTTTCAGCGTCAGTTAAAGCTCTCAGAAATTTCTCTCTCAATTTATGGATTCAACAGTAGAGTGTATTTTCATACTATACAGTACTAACCCAACCATTCACTTAGAAAATTCTTTTGTTTCTGTCACTGTAATCTTGGATCCCATCTCACCAAATCTCGGGAACATTTGTGTCATAATGTGCATTGTGTCCGGTTTTCATATAAAGTGTATGCCATTTATTACCTATGCTTTAGTTATTAGTATGTAGAAATCCGAGAAAGCAGTGTCATTTCCTGCTTATTATCTCATACTGTAAACTATAGTCTCATGTTTTTCTTCTTTCCATGTCATATCTGTGCTGCTTTATAGCATTCATTCTCAAGCAGGATATATTTTTCTGTCAGGAGACATTGGCAATGTCTGAAGGCGGTTTATACTGTTACCTTGGGAAAGCTACTACTGGCATGTGAATGGTGGAGGACAAGGATGCTATGAAACATCCTTTAATGCACAGTATGGTGTTCCTTCCAGCAAAATACTACCTGATTCAAGAAGTTAATAGTGCTGAGTTCAAGGAAACTTACTGTGTAGCAACTGACTTCATGTACTTTATTTGAACTTTCAGATTTCTCCCACCCCTGAGATGTTCAATTTAATATAATCTCTTGATTCAGAATAGCTACTCAATGGCAGAAAAAGGAAAGTTATGTCTCATGACCTCTGTGTCTTGAACTTTTGTTAAAGTGAGACAGAAGCCGTCACCTTTGTCCAAAATGCTGGTAAAATAGTACTATAGGACCACTTAATATTACCATAGTTATACAGAATAGAGAATTAGAGGCCTAAGCATATTTGTAAGTAAAGCATAAAATCAGAGAAAGTACAGAGTATGGTTATCCTCAGATACTCTGCTTCAAATGATATGTGTCGTTATAAAAATTGTGTCTGAGGCTGGGTGCAGTGGCTTCCGCCTGTAATTCCAGCTCTTCAGGAGGCCAAGACAGGTAGGTTCTTTGAGCTAGGAATTTGAGACCAGAACATGGGTGACATGGCCAAACATTGTCTCTACAAAACATAACAAAAAGTAGCTGGGCATGGTGATGTGCTCCTGTAATCCCAGCTACTTTGGGCGCTGAGGTGGGAGGATCACTTGAGCCTGAGAGATTGAGCTGGGCGCAGTCAGCCAAGATCGGGCCCCACTGGCACTCTAGCGTGGGTGGCAGACAAGACTCTGTCTAAAAAAGAAGGTTGTATTTGCAAATAAATGTATTAAAAAAAACTCCATGAGCAGCTTAATGTGAACACTGTTTCATTTTATTTTTCTCCTTTGTTTTTTTTCCCCTTCAGACATTTCGCATTTTCAGGAACAAAATGATTTAAAAGGATTACTAGAAAATCTCCATCAAAATATTCAATCCAAAAAAAGAAAGAATGTAGAAATTATGTGGCTGGCTGCAACGGTAAGTATTCCATGTCAAATCTGATTTCCTGCCACATGTTAACCAGCAAATATCATCAGTTTTCTGTTGTGCAGGGTCCAACCTCTGGACTTTTGGTTACCAGGTGTCATCTTCTGTTATTCTGTGGATTAGGCATTTTTACTCTTGTTGATAGTTGTATCCATAGACTAGAACATAAGATGGTAGGAGATGCACTCAAGAAAGAATCTTGTTCCTTTGCTATTCTTGCCAACCCTGGATGTGTTCGCCACTCTGAGGAAGTATCTGTGAGTTTCTTGATACTGCATGTCTCAGTGTCGATTGCCCGTATCACCTAGGATTTTGAACTGCTGCTTTAGAGACATATGGTTTCAACAGAATGTGGTTATCAGATCTCTGATTCACAGCTTTAATAAGGCTCCTGGATGTATTTTTCAGTTAATGAGCTTATAAATGTGTTTGTTAATTTGATATTGGCATAGAATTCATTACTGATGGATTGCTCTTAGGGTAATGAACTATATTTTGAATAACTCTTTCTTATTTAATGGTGTCCTTAGGGTAAAAGATCTGCCTGTGTTCCCACCCCAGGTTTCTATAAGAATTAGAGAGAGAGAGAAATGCCTGTATTTTTAAAGCTCTTATCTGGTAACCATAGAGTCATAGCTAACATGAAATTTATGACTGTTAAACAATCAGACCCAAACATCCTTTCATTAGGAATGCACCCTTCCATCAGGAAAGGTACATGTTAAAAATCTTAATGATAAATGTCACCTTTGCAGTTTCTGCAGTGTTACTCTGATACTTTGGAGCTCAGGTTGACCATGCTTCTAGCATACTCTATTTATTCTCCATCCATAGCATTTAAAACAGAAAGTTTTCCCTACTGCCAGTGCTTCAATTATAATTCAGTATTACTTTCTTCTGGGAAAAAGGAGTGGATGATTTACCATGAGCCCATATGAAATAATTAACCAAAAGCAAGGCAGAGTAAAGCTTCTGTAGTTTCCCTTCATGCCTTCTTGGAGCTCCAGGGAAAAACATCAAAGGTAACAATATGAAATGTTGCTTTCAGGCAGCTCATTTATACTAGTCCCATTTAGCACCATACCATGCTACATGAAGGCTGTTTTTAATAGTGTGGCTGCTCTTTGTATCTTCAAAGACCATTATGATTGTTATTCTAAATAAATTTTCACAATGGTAGGTCATAAATTGTGTTTTCTATTTTACTGAAAATGATAGCATGAAGATAATTTGATATTAATGCCATCTGATGATTTACAAACTTATAAATGTGTCATTATGTATAAATTGTGATGTTATGTAATAGATAAATTAAGGATATGCACATATAAACACGAATGTATATTTTCTCTTAGTACATGCAATTTCCCATTTTAATGTATGAAAAAGTTTTTCTATAAATTCCACACATTTCTAAAATAGTTTTTTGAAATGTGTATACTGAACAAATATGATTTTCTCACAATTTACCACTGAATGAATGATGAGTAGCATTTCTGTTGTGTAATGCCTCCGTTTCAGTATTCTATTTGTAAATCATGAACTTTAATGATATTTTTAAAATAAAAAATAAATACATTACTTTTGATATTTTCCAAAAGTATTGTGTTAATATTTGTTATTTTCCTCTTTTTTTAAAAAATCTATGTAATGAAATACTGCTTTAGTTAATATTTTACATTCTAATTAAAAAATATAAAGTTATTTTATCTTCTTTAAATAGTAAAAGTGAGGATTTAAAGAGGACAAATGACAGTCAAATGTGTTAAATTAATAGTTCAGGTACTGTAGAAATACAGAAATCAAGGCCTACTCTGTATACTTTGATGGAACTCCCCTGACCTCCACTCAACTTTAAATTTAGAACATTAAATATTCTAAGTAGGACAAGTTTATATAATAGTAACAATAAATTTTAAAGAATATTAATTCAATTTAAAAATCATATCTTGTAAATAGCCACTATGGTCTATTTTATTATTATGAATATAGTCAGGAATTTTTAAAATGAAATACTGTTTATTTGAAAACATTAGAATTTTTTAGATGTAAAGAGATTAGATGGTGAAATCATGCTCTCGCGTTTTTCTAGTCACTTCTATTGGAAATAGAAATACCAAAGTTTTTAACTAATAGGGATGTATAAATTCAAGTTTAAGTATCAGAATCACAATTAAAACATGGTAATAAATTCTAGATTAGCTGTATTAAAAGCAGACAACTTTTAAAGATTCCTTGGTGACAGAAAATAAAGACCTTTCTTATATCACATTAGATCTATTTTAAATGCACACTGATTAGCATTATAATGCCTGTTGATTATTGGTATCTCATATTAGAACCCTACAATGGGATAGAAGAGAAAGGAATGAAATGATTTCCCTATTAGCCATAAGGCAGTGAGACAAGAGAGCATTGCTGCTCAGTGATCTTTCTCTGATTTAAGTCAGAGTAACAGAAAGAATGAACCATAGAAGAAAACAGAACATAACAGATGTTAAAAGACTTGATCCTTGAACTTAAATAGAGCTCTGTTTGCATCCTGGTTCTGCTCTGTTATATACAAGTTACTTAACCTATCTAAACCTCTGTTTCCTCATCTGTAAAATGAAAATAATTATATCTTCCTCTAGAATTCCTGTGAAGTTTATTTTTAATTTGGTAGGTTTTTTTTTGTTTTGTTTTTGTTTTTTTTTTTTTTTTGAGATAGGGTCTCACTCTATTGCCCAGGCTGCAGTACAGTGGCATGATCACAGGCTCAAGTCATCCTCCCACCTCAGACTCCCAAGTAGCTGGGACTACAGGCATGCATCACCTTGTCCAGCTAATTTTTTTAATTATTATTTTTAATAGAGAGGCGCTTTCATTATGTTGCCCCGGCTGGTCTCAAACTCCTGAACTCAAAAGATCCTCCTGCCTTGGTCTCCCAGAGTGTTAGGATTACGGCCATGAGCCACTGCACCCGGCCCCTGTGAAGATTATTAAAAAGAGCAAATGTATATGAAATTTCTTAGTGTTGTACCCTAGTGCACAGTCTATGTGCAATAAATAAATTGATGAGTAGTTCCGTTGTCTGCTGTGAGGGACCATGCAGATGTTTGATATCTCAGAACATAAAACCAAGACTAGCAAATATTTCTTAAGTGTAAAATAAGAGAGTATTAGCTATGTAAGATTTGAATCAACTGTTTGATCCAGGGAATAGAGATTTGTTTTGTTTTTCCTCTTTACAATGAAGGCATTGTGTCTGAGCTGGGATTAGTTTAGCATTGTCATCCACTGCAGACCAAGTACCTCCTTGAATAGTGCACTGTGTCCTTTGCTGGATATTTCACATCTTATATGGCTTCAACAGTCCCACACTTCATGTACAAAGAGCTAAATAATTTAGGTCCATTGTGTTGGCTTTTGAAATGAAAAGGTAATGCTTTTGCATTCAATGAGACTGATTGAACCAACTGACTATCATATATGAAAACAAACTCAGGTTTATATTTGATGTGTTTAGAGTAAAGTGTTTGGGGGAAGCCAACGCTTTACAGTATTACAAATGAACAATAAAAGTTTGTTTTTACATGTGTGTTACAGATTTGCCGCAAACTAAATGGTATTCGTTTCACCTGTTGTAAAAGTGCCAAAGACAGGACATCGATGTCAGTGACACTTGAACAGTGCTCCATCTTGAGAGATGAGCACCAGCTGCACAAGGACTTCTTCATCCGAGCACTGGATTGCATGAGAAGGTATCTCACATGGTTTTTTTCAAGTTTTTTTCTTTTAAGGTCATTTTGCATTGTTTTTATTTTTATTTTTCAAAATACATATTTTACTGGAGGACTAAATATTTCAGAACCTCACTGTATTTTCATGGCTTATAGCTTATGACATGAGAGACAGATAGTTTTCTCTACCTGTATAATAATTTTTTCTCTATCCATATTCCCCCTACGCATATTAGGCTACTTTTCTAAACTTTTCATTTTAGAAAATGTGGCTGTGAACACATTTGATAAAATGCATGTTTGTATGTATATTATATATTTCATTAGTTCATTGGCTCAAATTAAAGGGCCCCCAAAATTTCACATGTAACACTATAAGAGCAGATGTTCATGACACATAAATATTTATGAGTACTTGCAAAACAAAACAAACTCATTATCTAAACAAACGCTTTCCAAATTACAACTAATAGGTGATATTTCCATGGCCCACAGAGTCTCTGGGTCAGTAACCTCTTTTCTAAAATTATTTTCAAATCACTCATCATAAAGATGGGATGATACTGATACTTTAAAATAGAGAACTAACATGGTTAGTTCTCTGCCGACATTTAAAATGCTGTGCCCGAAGTCATGTTTCTTAATTCATTTCCACAGTAATTAAATCTAAACTCCAAGCCATAATGGAAAGGAAAAAGTGCTTCATTCACAATGTCTATCAGCAAGGACACACGTTAATTAAAAAGTTAAGTGAAATTGTAAAGCCCAGCTCAGGAGCAACTAGGAAGCATGGGACAGGTTCTGGGTTCCCAGAAAGGAATGTCATGTGATTCACTGGAGAGAGCTGCTTCTTATCTAGCCTGCCATTAGCTTCCAGTTTTCTTTTAACTGCTGCAGTCTTTCATTGGAGACATTGATGTTTGCTTGTGCTTGTTCTATGCCTGTATGTTTTCTCACTAACGAGGGGTTTCTGAAGTCCTTTATTTTATCCCATTTCATCTCTCTTGGCATTTTCATTGTTCAGTGGAGCTCTATCATAATTTTTTGATAAATGTATGAGGATGTCTTAGAGGCCTGACATGAACATCTCAGCCATATAAAACATGTTTAGTTGATATAAAAAACTTCTTTCAAAGACAATATCTCAGCACTAACAGGCAAACTACAGAATCCAAGTATGAAATCTTCAAATGTACAGAAAAAGAACAAAAATGTCACTGTAGAAGGAACAAAGATGCTTGATGAGGAGCGCAAGAATGTGTGATATTATAGACCAGGAACACCATGGGACTAAGCTGATTTAGCTAAAAAACTTTCTGGAAAATGAAATTGGTGCCTGTTTGTTTAAGATAAAAGAGAGGCCCCTTAAATTAGAAAGAAAATAATTCAAGCAGGTAAATAAAGGCTGTATCTATACTACACATATTATACTATAGAACAACATATTTTAGTATTGCCTATGATTGATATTATATATACAATATATTTGCTCATTACATAGCATTCATGATGATTCATTTTTGTGTTTTTAAGGTAACACACTAGAAATTTTATCTAAAAACCCTAAAGGCGTTTAACTTCAAATCCCTACTATTCTGGTGATATTCTTCTTCTTTTGGTTTTGTGTGTAAATGAGGACTGTGCCAGAGTGTGAGGGTTGGTCTGTATTTGCATATACGTATGCCCGTATTTAAGGAAAATAAGATATGTTGTTTTCTTTAATAACTGCCTTCATTTCCCTCTGGGTATTTTGCCTTACAGCATAGGCATAGGTTTACAAGCTCTGGCCACATAGCAGAGTAGATAAGAGCATGCAGCTTGGGAGTCAGCCAATTTCAATCCAGAGTATAAACCATACGCTGCCCTTAGGCAAGTTAGTCTCTCACTGCCTCTTGGTGCCTTAGGGCAAGTTAGTCAACCTCTTACTAACTCTCAGTTTCCTCATCTTATAAAACAGGCATGATAATAGCAGATCCATTTTAGTAGTGTTTTGAGGATTAAATGAATTGATACATGTAAAGGAATTAGGACAATGTTTGGCACATGGTAATCAATAATGTTTGTTGAAAAAATAAATATCACGGGCTGTGATATTAATACTCTGATTTTTCATGTGCAGAATAATCTAGCTAATTATGATCCTTGTAGTTTTATGTTTGTGAATATTTTATGACACAAGGTTGGACTACAACAGCATATATTAAAGTGTCCTGGGAACCCTTGTTAATAAAGTTTCAAAGGCAGTATCTTCCCTATTTAAGAAAACCAGGTCTTTAAATAGCACTTTAAAAATATGCAAGTGTTTGCAAATGCTGTGTTAATTATGGAAGCATTACATTTCCTGAATAGGTTTTTTAATAAACATTTTTGATGCTAATGTATATTCTGTAGCTAGAAATAATCATAGTATTTAAGATAAAGAAGTCACCTTAGAGATTACTTATAAACATTTTATACGTATAAATCTTATAAATTTCTTGCCTCATGTGCAACAGTGGTTCATGAATAAATATTTCTCAAGTTACTGCTTGCTACCAGGGGTCCCATATTGATTACTGCTCAAGTTATTGGGGTCCCAAAATGCTGGGTTCTGACAGTATTTTGCAGTTTTAGTTTCTTGAGAGGAAGCAGATTTGTCTTGGTCCTTGCTCTGCCATCTAGCAAGTCCCAGCCTTCTAACAGTGGTTTTTGAATGAACATCAGAGCCACCTCTGGAACTTTTAAAAAATGCTTACATTGAATTGGTGTGTTAAAAGGTGGAAGGATGGGAAGGGAGTGGGTGCAATGTACACTATTCAGGTGATGTTTGCACCGAAAGCCCAGACTTCAGCACTCTACACTACGACCGTGTAACAAAGATGCACCTGTCCCGTAAATCTATCTTAAAAGGTATATCAAGATGTAGTTTAAGTTATCATCCTCAGGGGTTCAATTTAATAATTAAAAACAACATGTCCTATATTAAAACAAAATGCATATGTTTGGATCCCACGTAAATTATAATTGAGAAAATCTGAGGTGGGTCCAGGATTTTAAGACCTTTACACGTATTCTGGAAAGAACCCTGGATTTTAAAAAATCAGTGTTTTAAAGGAATGTGATTTGTATGGTTTTGAACTTATTGCAAATTTTAATTTTATTTAATATCAGTTGTAGTTTATTTGTCCTTTGAATTATTCTAATCAGCTTCCAGGCTATTTTCTCTGGATTTCTTAAACATTCACCAAGGTTTCTTTATTATAAAAATTCAGCGGCTGGGCACAGTGGCTCACACCTGTAATCCCAGCACTTTGGGAGGCCAAGGTGGATGGATCACGAGGTCAAGAGATCAAAACCATCCTGGTCAACATAGTGAAACCCCGTCTCTACTAAAAATACAAAAAATTAGCTGGGCGTGGTGGCGCGTGCCTGTAATCCCAGCTACTCAGGAGGCTGAGGCGAGAGAATTGCCTGAACCCAGGAGGCGGAGGTTGCAATGAGCCGAGATCGTGCCATTGCACTCCAGCCTGGGTAACAAGAGTGAAATTCCATCTCAAAAAAAAAAAAAAAAAAAAATTCAAGGAAAAAATAAAGTTCCACAAAGTTATCATATACTCTTTATCTAGTTTTATTTTTTCTTATCTATGCTATTTTTTTGTATTGTGCTTATTTCTGTAGCAATTTCAAATTATTTATGATGAGCAAAGGTTTATAAATGAAAGTAAATAAATAAAGCTCCATTTGGCTCTTATTTAGGAATTTCCCCACCAGAAACAACTCTCTGAAGGTAGAGATTTTTCTTTTCCTTTGTTCACTAGTATATTTCCAGTACCTAGAACAGTGCCCAATGACAGTATAATTTTTTCCCCAATAAATATTACAACAAAGGAATACTTTAATGACATGGGTTAAAACTTTGGGTCCTATGTACTTGGTGGCTTTGTGTATACATAGGCATTTAAAATAAGCATATGAAGTTATCATTTGATTGTGACATACTGATAGCACAAGTTGCAGAATATGAAAGCAAAAGCATGGAGAGGTTTTCCTGATTCAAAAACAAACAGGCAATAAACCACTTCAGCTCACCACCTGAATTCACCCTTTGTACAATTGTCAAAAAATTCAGAGTTCCTTTTTTCTACGTATCCAGTATTATTTTCAGCTGCTCGCTTCTGACGGGGCCTTCAGGTACCATCTGTTTGATAAAATGACTTAAATACCACTTCAGATTAGAAAATTAACACAAGGTTTCTGGGTGATCTGACTCTGTAAGACTCTCCTAGTGGTTGCCTATATTGTTAAGACCAAAATAATGATTCTTTTTTTTTTTTTTTTAATACTTCAAGTTCTGGGGTTCACATGCAGAAACTGCAAGTTGGTTACATAGATAGACATGCCATGATGGTTTGCTGCACCTATCAACCTGTCATCTACATTAGTTTTTTCCCCTAATGCAATCCCTTCCCTAGCTACCAACCCCCTGACAAGCACAATGTGTGATGTTCCCTCCCCGTGTCCATGTATTCTCATTGTTCAACTCCCACTAATGAGTGAGAACATAGCAGTGTTTGTTTTTCTGTTCTTGTGTTAGTTTGCTGAGAATGATGGTTTCCAGCTTCATCCATGTTCCTGCAAAGGACATGAACTCATCTTTTTTATGGCTGCATAGTATTCCACAGTATACATGTGCCACATTTTCTTTATCTAGTATATCATTGATGGGCATTTGGGTTGGTTCCAAGTCTTTGTTATTGTGAACACTGCCACAGTAAACATACATGTGCATGTGTCTTTATAGTAGAATGATTTGTAATCCTTTGTATATTCCCCAGTAACACGATTGCTGGGTTAAATGGAATTTCTAATTCTAGATTCTTGAGAAATCACCACACTGTCTTCCGCAATGGTTGAACTGATGTATATTCTCATAAACAGTATAAAAGCATTCCTATTTTTCCGCATCCTCTCCAGCATCTGTTGTCTCCTGACTTTTTAATGATTGTCATTCTAACTGGTATGAGATGGTATCTCAATGTGGT